ATATTTGCCACTTAGTAAATCCTGGTTACAATAATTGAACTAGAGGAGGGAGGGTATTTTTAGAAACTTGTTTAGATAAATCAAAAGTTTCACTGTGGACAGTAAGTTAATCCCATGACATTCCAAGTAGAGCCCCCCAAGGATGGGATTAAATACACACTTTGGGTAATCAGAGACTCAAATTGGGGAATTATGAGGACAACAATAACAACAATGGGTTTTAAACTCATTGAACTCATCAAGATCACTGAGAAATGACCATCAATTAAAAAAAATAGAATAAAGAAATATAATATAAAATCACCATGTTGTAAATTCAACATTTAATATGATCTTAACAAAAAGTGCTTCACTGAGGGCTGGAGTTTAAGCTTAGTGGTAAAATGCTTATCCAGTTTGCCCAAGCCCCTGGGTTTGATCCCTAACACTGCAAACTACATAAAATGAAAATGAAACAAAAAACCCCACAAACATAAAATGTCACATTTCATTGAATCTACTATTGCTAAATGGTAGCTTAAGTACATCTGTTTAGTTTGGAGCAGTGCAGGTAAAACAGAAATCTTCTTAGACTTTATAACAAATTTTAAAAATGGGGAAGTTAGAGATGATTTTCTTTCAAAAAAATCTCATCTCATTTCTTAGTTTGGATAATTACACTAATTTTTAAACCTAAAAACATAAAAGGAGATGATTGTCAGGAACATTTTTTTTCCCTGTGATGCTTTTATTTTAGTCTTATGCAGAAAGGAAGCCAAGAATGATTACCTGAGCATTATCCATAGGTAGTGGGTGATGAGTTTGTGGGTGTCTTTATTTTCTAAGATATGTGAAACACAGTTATGGGTGAAATAAGCAATACGGCTGTATGGAATATCCTTAGTTAAATATGGTGATTCATTAACATGTGGGTCCCAAGCAGGGAATGTATTGCAATTAGAATTTAAGTTGCAAAATATTCATTGACTACAGAAATCCACTATCAATTTTTCCAAGTTAATTGTCTATGAGGATGCAAGAACAGAGACAGGAAGAACCAAAAGGAAACAAGCTGGGAATTTGTAGAGATTATAGATAAACTGTGGTTATACTTAGACTGGGAAATCGAACATTTGGTTTCCATTTACCTAAGTCTCCAAGGTCTGAATTATACACATTTAGTGTATAATATCGTATGTGTGGGTGTGGGTGTGTGCATGCACATATCTATCTGTATATCTAGAAAATGGTCTTTAATTGAAGAGAAAAATCAATTTGGTTTACAAAGAGTTTGACATCCTTGTTTGTTCAGATGAATCAGAATTGTAGCTTCAAACCAGGGATTCACTTAGAGAAATAGAGTAAACCCATAATTTATCCTAAACATTCTACTGATAAATGCACATGATCCCAGGGTGATCTTCACAAATGATGTTTTAGAGTTGATTTTTCAATTCAGGGAGGGAAAGAGTGACCAAGAAAAAGCTGAGAAACTGGATAACTCAAAAGGCTTGTATAAAATAAGAAGATTAATGATAACACAGGAGTTCTGAGAGATATAGATGAAAGAAATGATAAAAACTGAAACATGACCCATCATATATCTAAAATAATTAACATTTTAATTCAGTTTAGTAGTATGTTTTGAGCATTTATGGAGTGTAAACCTTGGAAGAAATACAGTGGGTCCCTTTCTTTCAATGGTTCACCATAAACAGTATGAGCAAACTACTGATGAGCATTTAGCAGAAACTAGGTAAAGTAGAAATGGATAAAAATATTTTCAGGATTTGAACACAAAGGTTTGTTTTGAATAGAACATAAAATATATCAGCTTTACTTTTTGATATGCTGGGGATTCAACTCAGGGGTGCTCTACCGCTGAGCTACAACCCCAGCCTTTATATTTCTATTTTGGTTCAAGGTCTTGCTAAGTTGCCCAGACTGGCCTCCAACTTGCAATCCTCTTGCCTCAATCCTCATCCTGAGTAGCTGGGATTATAGGTGTGCACCACTGCTCCTGATGAAGATAGTCTTTTAAAAAAAAGTAAGAGATAACATCACAGAGGGGTAGACAGAATGGTCAAAGGGAGACAGACCACAGATTCCTGATAGTAGAAATGCCACAGGACAAGCCATAGACAATTTAGGTGTGTGTAAGAGGGACCAGGGAGCTCTAATGAGGTGAGTAAATCTCCAAAGATGGTGGAAGGATCACATGGAATGGAAGGAGTGCCATTCATCAAGCAATTCTGGAGCTTCCCCATCTCCAAATTAAATAAGCTTATAGATAACACCTTCTAATTTGTCAATTCTTCAGGGATCTCCATTGATTTTTTTTAGGCAGTATTTAATAAATATCTGACAAATCACAGTAGAAACTTAGAAACCCACATACTGTAGAAATCTTGAAATCGACAAGTACCCAGATAAGTTGCATCCTCTTGAAACTAATGACCTCACACTGGAAGATAAACACAGGAAGATCTTTAAATGACAGTGCTAACATTCTTTATTATTACTTTAAAAACTTAATAAAAATTAGAAGAATTTCAGGTGAAAAGTGTTCAGAATAAAAATAGTCCAATCATCTCTACAGAAAGATGCCTAAAGTCCTGAATTCATCATTTTTAGGATACTTTTTAAATGTCAATATCCACACTTAATCTCCTTTCCTAAAAAAAATAAAAAATAAAAAGAAAGAAAGAAAGAAAGAAAGAAAGAAAGAAAGAAAGAAAGAAAGAAAGAAAGAAAAGAAAATGTCTAATTGGTTGTTCTGTAGCTTGAAGATACTAGGGCTAAAAAGGAAAAGGGTGGCCTATTTTAAAAATACCTATTAGAGGTCAGATATTGTTTATCTACATCATAACTTTAACAGAAAAAAATAGGTATCTTTTTTCCCCCAAAATAAAATTGCATATAAAATCTGTTTAGTTTTTAATTATTTGTTATTAGTTAATATATATTCTCCAATTCTTTCAGATTTGTCATATACGTAAAAAAATTTTCTCACATTAACAACTAATAGTCATGTTGTGTACATAAAATGAATTTCCATCATTCCTTCTCTCTTGTTTCCTAATTAATTAGAAATAATTTTGTCAGCATTTCCCTGAGCTTCACTTAGTGAAGAATCACTTGAGGAAAATAGGAATCACACTTCCTTTTTACTATTAGACTGTTATCACACATTTTTAAAAAGTATTCTTTGCATTTGCAATTCAAAAGCAGGGAGAACTAATTTAAATACTATGCAAAGTATATAATTTATGGATTTCTTCATCAAAGTGGCTTTAAGGATTCTATCAAAAAGATACTTTATATAATAAGGGAATAGTAAACACAGAACAAGTGAAAATAAAAAGGCTTTTAAACTTCCACTGTGCCCCCTAATGGTAGGAAAGAAAAAAATCTAGACATAGGTTTTATGTTTCTTTTCCAGTTAATTATTCTTTATAGAAAACTCCCTCCAGGTCAGTAGTTTTCAATATGTGTTTTATACAAGTTAAAATATAGAAAGTAATAAAAACACTAGCTATTGTTAAATTTCATGTCATTAAATTTTAGGAATGATTCCTTGCTATTTGAAATAATCATTAGATGTTTGGGATTAATTCCTTTTCTAAGGTTTAATATAAAAATAAAGCAGTTAATCTCATAATATATATTGTACAATATAAGTCAACTCTATGGGAATCAATTCATATCTTCCTCTCAGTTATGTCTGCATTATTGTTTAAAAATCAAACAAATCAGACACTTTTAACTTTATTCACATCCCAAATAGCAGTGTTTGTTCAACTCATTCCATGGATCCTCATTATTTAGAATTTGCCTTTCAGTGATAGAAATCTCTAATGCAAGAAGAAAGCTTCATTTCAAAAGACAATTTGAACAATTTTCTTTTGATAACCCAGAGAAGGGAATAAGTATCATTTAAGTTCACCAAATACATGAAGATTCTTAGAAATGTGACTCTGGGTGGGGGAGGGTGGATATATAGACTTTTCTTCTTTCTGAAAGTACAGTATCCTTTTTGGGGAGGGGGTAAAAGGAAGACTACATCAGGGAAATAAATTTGATGCAATGGTGAAACATAATAAGAAAAGGAATATTAAAAGAATGAGAAATAGAAGAAGGAATGAATCCGAAATGAGCTGATCAATGCAAATACCAAAAGAATAAAGAATCAGAAAAAAATATTAATAATAGTGATACACATTTCCACCTTCTAACACATGAACAATTTATAGCTTCATTTTATAAACATGAAATTGGTTTTCTACAACATTGAACCACAAGTCAACATATATAATTCATCCATTATCTCAGTTACTTGTAATAAAAACTTTACAGTTTAACAGGAAATCATTTCTATTCCTTGGAGCCACTATTCTTTCTTCTTTACTGATTTTCTTCCTTTTCTCTAAACTCTTTGACTTAATCTCTATATTATAATTGATTCTCTGATGACCTTCCTTTTTCTTTTAGCCTGTACTATCTAAAACTTATATTTATTTTGAAACCAGGAAACATTTGCTCAGAAGTTTAGGCTATACAAAAAATACTCTAATTCTTTTAGGAACTTCCAAACCAAAGAAACCCTTGATTTCCTGTATTCATCCTGGACACATTACTTAAATACTAGAAATAATAGACTTTATGTTTCACAAAATCAGAATGACAAATTCCTGGAGTGGGAACATGAAAGAAAATGGGGAGGGGTAGGGAGAAGGGGTGCTGGGGTTCTTTTCCAGGATGCTGTATATGGCAGTGCTTTTGGATGACTCCTTCTGTGCGTCAGAAATCCGGAGCAATAGCAGCAATTAGGGAATATCGTCACTTACAGTCAAGGTTCAGAAGTGGGGAAGAGATGAGGGACAAAGGAAAAAGGGAGGAGGAAGTGGGGGGGGGGAGAAAGAGAGGGATAGAAATGAGGACAGGAACACCCCTAATCCCTGTACAGTCATGACATCATCCTCCTGCTTAAATATATATAGGGAATGGCCAGAGCATCTCTTATAGTTCTCTCACTTTCAGAGTCAGCTGAAGGCTAGAGAAAGCTCCACAGAAAGCCTTTCAGTGTCTGACTTCTGTGGACTTGGCTTGAGAGAAGGCTGAGAGAGATGATGGCAGGCATGAAAATCCACCTGGTGTGCATGATACTCCTGGCTTGCAGCTCCTGGAGTCTGTGCTCAGGTAAGCCGAACAGCATTTCACAAAACCCTTCAGTGATTTCTTTGCAATGTGTTGCTACTTATGTTAATGTATCCAGGGAGAAGAGTTTTTCCTCTTTATTCAGGATTTGCCTTTTCATTGATAGAAACTGTGAATATCATCTTATTCTGTCTTTCTGTGTATAAGAAAAGAGATTTATTTTTCCCTTTTTAAAATCTGCAAAGCAATAAAAAAGATTTAAGGTAACACAGCATGCCCCCTCTGTCATACAATGATGAGAGAAAAACAAACAAATGAACAAAACTTTGAATTAGGTTGGGCATTATATAATGAGAAGTACAGGAAAAGTGACTGTCGATGTGCAAGCTCATCATTAAAACTCATTCCATTCAAAATGCTTTATTCTGATCATCAGAAATTCTCCTGGAAAGTGGTGTCTTCCCCTCACTTATCTTTGTAATTGACTTCAATTAATTTTTTTAAAAAGTCACTGTGTTAGGCTAAAACAAAATAAAATTTGATGAATAAGTAAATAGTGCATTATTTGCAAAAAAAAAAATATTTCTAGAAAATATAAAATCCACCAAGTCCTTTATAAAAAATATATATTTTATGGTATATTTATATGATACAGCATGCTATTCATATAATTGCTTTTAATTGCATGTCATTTAAGTTGATGCAAAACATAATTCGAAAATTGGTATTCTAATGTTAATGGAAATATTTAGTTTTAGAGTGTTTTACATATGACAGTTAAGTAGAAGGCATATATTATCAAATATTTATAAATAACATATCTTGAGAATAAGTTTTAAATTTAAAGCAGTAACATGAAAGATTATAATGATTACAATATGCTTCAACTAATGCTTGAAAAATAATTGAATAATCACATTAAAGTGAAAAGGAGAAAAATACATTAAAATCATTTAACCTGCTTTTATAGCTTTGATACCTCATATGTAACATTGATGTTCAATTCAAACTCATGATTTTTAAGCATAAAAGTAAGATCTATTAGAACATAAAAATTTATACAAAGCTTTCTTTTATTAATAATTAAAAAATAATTTTGCAAAATTTTATGAGAAAAATACCAACTTTTCTATAATTGTGATTTTATCTAACACATGAGATTAAAGGTATAATTAGACTATGTAGAAAAAAAAATAATTGAACATTGTGTCTATTAACTTGAAGTTGCTTGCTGTGATAAACCTAAATTTACAGGGGTTTGGTGAACAGTGTTCATAAATGAATAGTAGAATTTGTCTTTCCTTTTCAAAAGCATATTGCATCTTTAACAAATTGAGTTAAAAGTTCTCTGGTATAATTTAGTTCCTAGATATGAGTTTTAAGAATGGATTCTCTAAGTGTGATACTTACTTTTTATAAAAGTACAGCGTAAAAGGAAGATAGAGCCACTTTTAATATATGCCTTGTTTTATCACAAAAGGCCACTAAGTATGAACTGTCATGTTACTATGGTGTTCTACAACTTGTTATTATTACTTGTAAAATTTTCAAAGTTTTTATTTTCCATAGTATGTTCATAAGTAGAAACTTAGGATATTCTAAAAAATTCAAATTCATTTTCAACACAACTTTACATATGTTTTTGGACAGATCCACTTTTTCCTTACTCATCTTGATAAAACTGTAAAGTAATCATAATTCAAATTCTTGTTTAAAGTAGAAAACAATTCTTTCAAGGAGTGTTTTGTAAAATGACATCTCATGTGAAATAAATCTCAGTATCTTTTCTATCCTAAAGTTATCAGTCATCAATTCCCTTTGGTTTTGTGTTGAAAAAGTCTCTTCTACTCATATTTTCATTATGTTGATTATGAAATATCAATATACATACTTTCTATATGTGTGAACTATTGCTGGTAAAAATAAGCTACTCCAGCATATTTGATGAAATTCATGTTATACCATACAATAAAAAATGTTACTGAGATTCAGAGATTAAACAGCTACAAATCACAAATAATCATGGCTTATTTTCTTAGAAGTGTTTCTATTCTTCTAGTCTCCTGCTAGCCTAAAATTAAATTATCATTCATTTATTCTGAATATATTTTTAAAGAAAATAAATGCATAAAAAGACACTAAGCCTCTAAGACTAAATTTTAAGATTAATTTAAAATATGTAGGTTAAGTTATAATTATATAGTGCGTGATTACATAGTAAACATATGGTTTTGATTTTTTCTCAGATTCTGAAGAGGAAATGAAAGCATTAGAAGCAGATTTATTGACCAATATACATACGTCAAAGGTAACTTTCTTTTCTTTAACTTGGGGGTGAAGAATATATAAATTTTCACTGTACATATGGTGTCCTTTTCTTACAGTAATAACTTCCCATCAAGACTGAAAAGTTCCTTGGGAGGCATTTCCTTTTGGGGTAAACTTTGAGTTCTAAGAAGTTAAGGGTGTTAATGTGACAGGGAAAGAAACTACAGTAACTCAATCAGCATTATGCAACTTTTACTAAGTAGCCACATGTGATTTATGTGGTCATGTAAATGTATTTAAGAAACTGACTTCCATTCTTAGTGCATCATGTATGATGAAAGGTATATTGGCCTCTAGTGTAGCACTTAAATGAACTTTTCACCTTTTTTATTACATTGTAGAAAATAAAATAGGTTTCCTAAATTGAAAATGACAGAGTATGACAACCTGTGAAGGAAATGTGCTAAAGAGGAAATAGTACTAGACAGGCAAACAGTAGCCTTGAGGTCTACTCCTGAAATTGTGACTTACAAACTATTTGATCTTAAACAGTTCAGTTGAGTAGCCTGGATTTTCCTTTGTTTCCTTTTTATTAAATGCAGTGATTGAAGCTTACGATCATCTAGAAATTTATAGTTCTGTAATGTTTTCAAAAGTTATAAGCTGTACTCTTTATTGTATAGCAACATTTAAATTGTCCCTGTAATGGAAGAGTTATCTGTACCTGATAATTGTTTTTATTAAACCAAGTAAAACCTTGTATCCTGACCCTTATTAATCCTTTCTTGGGATGTTAAAAGCAAATTTTCTAGTTCTCAACCTTTACCTAGAAAGAAAAAAAAACTCAACTAGAATATTTCTGATAATCATGCTACCATACTACATTGATAACTCAGAGTTAGTCAACCAATGGGTATCTAAATATGTGGTCAGGGCATAGGTTTCCAATCAAAAGATTTCTTCTGTAGGAAAAATTTCCAGCTGAGGCAATCACTTGGTACCATGATAATTATAGCAATGCTGTACCAAAGTTGAAGAGACTATAACCATGATGGTATCAAGTTAATGTTTTACTAACTCAAGTATTTAACCTTATGATAATAGACCCTTTGCTACCATTTATTCAGAATCACAGTAGCTTTATGCTTTCTCCTACACAAAAGTAGGACAATAACTGAAATCATTAGCCTGTTTTGAAAAATAGATTAGATTTCAATGCCTGGTGAAATGTTATAGATTTTATTTCTCAAATTTCAAGTCTACATTAGCACAGAAAGGTCCTAAATAATCCCCAGAAATATGATATAGTTTGGGGAGTGGGAGCTATTTAACCTATGTGAGAGTAGAGTTGTGATTATTTTTCTGACCAAGATATTATAAAGATAAACTAATCCTAGTATATGGACTGATTTAATTTTTTCTCTTAAGAGAAATGCACTGTAAACATATAGGATAAATAATTTTTTCCCATTTCTCTCTTAAATTCATTAAGTGGAAAAAAGTTGAACTTTAATGCCTCTTTTTACTCAAGAGATAGAGTCTAAGATAAGTAGGTCACAGAATTTTAATTGTTCCAATTTCATTGCTTATTTCTTACTTTTATAAAATTATTTTATCATTTATTTATAAGAAAGGTTATTCAATCATTTATGCTGTGTTTATAGCACTATGCAAGTGAGAACTCTTGATTTACAATCATTTTAAACAAATTGCTACATTTAAACATTGGATAAGAATAGTATTTGATGTTGGTATGAATACAACTCTATTATTAAATTCTCTAGAAAGCTTTAGTTTTTCTTTTTTCTACTTCATAAGTAAGATAAGTGAGCATTTTCAATTTTATAGTAAAGTTGTTTAGATATTGGAATATTATTGCTGAAATACACCTAGGCAACAGAAAGTGAAGAGAGATTCTAATGGAAAAGAAATGGAATGTAGAGAAGAATTTTCTTCTTCTCATAAACAGTTGTCTTTATTATCAATGCTAGTGTTTTGATATAGTCTTATTAAGAAAGAGAACCTGATATAGTATATCTTTAGACTATCAAAAAGCTAATTGAATATTGTAATTTACTGTGATCAAACTCAATACCTTTCATATACAAGGTGTTCAAAAGATGCTTATTAATTAACAATTGGAATGCATGATTTGTTAATAAACTCATATTTCATGTTCAAATGTAAAAATTTTGAAACTCCATGACAGACAGATGACTTTGATTATTTTCAATTTGGTGAAGTCTTTCAATTTATCCATCTGCTTGATTCATCTAAGTTCAGTGAATAACAGGTAGTGACAGTTCATCATACCACTTAGTTCACATTTAATACAGGAAAGAAATTTGAGAAGCATCATGAGCAATATTAGAAAGTTAGACCTTTGTAGTTCAAAGCTTCTACAAATATGTTTCCAAATACATGTCCCTTGGTTGTCCTTTGGTCAAGATGCTTCTTCCTGCTGTGCTTCCTCAGTGGGACAGGGGCTTGGTGACTTTTTACTTTATGTATTCTGCTTAGTAATAGATATTTGCTCACTGACATCTTTCCAGATTTATAAAAGCAAATTTGTTTATGTGTTTTCATGGTAATTTGTTTTTCTTCATATTTAATCAAAAATGATATTTATCATTTGGCTATAATATGTCAAGAAAGGTTATAACTAGATCTGCATCCAGTTTTCCCCATAGCTAACTGTTTAAAAGTATTTGAACTGCTACTTTTGTTGTATGCTACTTACTCATTTGTACCCGATTCAGTTTTTCAACACTGCCTTCTCTTCTGGTAGGTTTCATGTTTATTGCTATTCTATTACTCTATCCCATTGATTACTCAGCTTTAAAATGCATTTTAATAATGGGCATGGTAAGACTTTCCTTATTACTATTTAATTTTTCTAAATCTTCTATTACTATTAAATTTTTCTAAATCTTCATGGTTATTCTTGACACAGTCATCCTTTGAATTTACCTCCTTTTGCCAAATCCTCATACAACTTCTAGTCTCCCCACATTTTTTCCAGTTGAGACATTGATTTGCAAATTGCATTATATTTCAATAGTAATTCAGAGAAAATGGTTACCTGATATTGTTATCAAGCCTGTCCATCATGTCTTTGTCATAATTTAACTCTGTAGCTTTTATAAGTCCTTCAGGAAAAATTTACACTTTCCTTTATCTGTGCTCTTACAAATTTTTGCTAATTTTTAATTAATTTGTAATAGGTTCTCCTATTTCTTTACATGTTTCCTTATTGGTTACTCTTGACATTGAAGAATAGCTGATTATATTAATTATAGTTTCAGACAAAATATTATTAGAAAAAAAAGACAATTTCAGAAAATATTAAAATTTGCAAATAACTTGGTCAGTTGTGGTACTGGCCATGACAACTATTAATGTGTGAAATATTCAATGACCTCACATTATTGTGATTGTCAAAATTTATTAATAAAAATTTATTCCATGCTTCCTTTCACATTAAGCTGAAATATAACAGAGAATAGTATTTTTGAATTTTGAATTTTTTCATCTGATTATATACACACATATTTATAGATTTCTACTGTTATTTTCTTTCTTAATTTGCTCTGGAAATATGTGCATCTGTATGTGTGTATTACTTCATCCCATTCTATTACATAGGTAATATGAGGTACTGGCACCATGCAACTTTGTGACATGAAGGTACTCAATTGATAGTACAATATTTAGTAATAGAGTAACTATTAGACTCTAAAGTATAATTGTGTAACACAACAGAAGTTCATGTATTTATTTGTATAAGTTTGATTGCAATATCTTTTCTTTTTTCTATATTTCAGATCAGTAAAGCAAGTGTTCCTTCATGGAAAATGACCCTGCTAAATGTTTGCAGTTTTATAAATAACTTCAACGGCCAAACTGAGGAAACAGGAGAGGTTCATGAGGAAGAGCTTGTTACAAGAAGAAAACTTCCTGTTGTTCTAGATGGCTTTAGCCTGGAAGCAATGCTGACAATCTACCAGCTCCAAAAAATCTGTCACAGCCGAGCCTTTCAACACTGGGAGGTAAAATGAAAACAAAATATGAGTATAATTATATTTATACTAGTTAGCTTTCATTTGTATTGATTTTTATATCCTGGCCAGATCATAACCGGAAGACTTACAAATGTTAAAGAAGAATAAACCATGTGTTGAGGTCAACATTGCTTCAGATCTTCAAAGTGTCCTTCAAATATTTGGAGTTTAGCAAAAACAGTTTTTCTTCAGTCTTAAAAAGAAGGATATATCTTTAGGCAGATTTGATCCATATGCTTTTACTGTGCATAAATGGAAGGCATACTTAGGCAATCTTTGTTGGTGGTGGTACTGGTGGCATGTCTAAGAAATTTAAGAAACTCAAAATGTTTTCTTAAAAACACATGTATGTGTATATATCTATAAACAAACACTGAACACAAAAAGTGTCCAAATAAAATGGGAATAAAGACACAAAATGTTCCTTTTGAATACATTAGTCAAATAAAAATATATTTGCATAAGTAAAAGTATAAAATCAGGATCTGTATCTCTTTTATTCCAGTTTTATTTGAAACTCCCAGGTTTGTCTGTTCATAAGGGGTTTGGGGAGCTTTTGTATTTGAATATGTTAGGTAAATAAATTTGTTTAGTTTATAAAAATATATATAAAATAGGAATCTATATCTGCATCATTCTGGTTTTAAGAACCATTATGGTCTGTGCTTATTTATAGATAAACACATGTGACTTTGTAAGTGTATCTATCTTCCTATTATAATTGAGTGGCGGATTTCAGGTATTTTGAGCAGCTGAATTTGGTCTATCACAGACAAAATAGCCAATTGCCATAATACAGATTTAAAACAAAGGACTAGACTGGTGACTTCCTGACTTTGGTTTACAAATATTAATTTGTTTGCAAAATTTTAAAAGTGCTTTAATAATGAAATTGGACTTGTATTTAGTTAATGTCCAGAGCTAGCCATTTAGAACCAGAAGATAGTTTGAAAGTAACTTAAACTTCTTTCTTGGATTTGCATAATCTAAATGTATAGCATTAAATCTGTGAAGGAACAGAGTAATAAAACTAGTCAAAACATTCTACATTCATCAAAGTTATGTTCATCCATATTTCAGTGTAGCTGCCAATTAAATATTCTGAAACAATGTCAACAATTTTTTTTCTTTGGACAGGCAACTTAAATGCCAACATTTAAGCTACCATCACTTAGGTATAACCACAATTATCTGCAATTCCCTACATATTAATTCTAGTTCCACCCCTTCTCTCCTACTGAATAAATAAGCAAACATGAGAGCATTAAAGGAAAAATTATTTGTAAAATTTAATAGTTTGACAATTATTAAAGATAATGTTTTGGAGCTCGGGTTGTAGCTCAGTGGTAGAGTGCTTACCTAGCACATATGAGGCCCTGGGTTTGATCTTCAGCACCACATAAAGATAAATAAATAAAATAAAGGTATTATATCCATCTACAACAACAAATTTTTTAAAAGATAATGTATTGCAAATACTTTATGATTTTTTGACTTAATTGATATAAGTTGCTGTAAAAGATAAATTAGAGTTTTGGAAACATGAAAAAATATTGAGGTTAAAGAAGAGAAGAGATAAATATATGCTTTTAAAAAAGGAATATTTAACAATTTTCTCAACAGGAGAAACGTTTTTTTCAGATAAACCTCCATGAAAAATTTGCTTAATGTTTTATGTACTGAGTTTACACCAACATCGAAGATCTGAGGGTGCCTTCCTTGCTGTTATAACTAACTTGTGACTGTGTGCCATGGAGATGCCTACAGGAAAGGCAAATACAAGCAGAATAGCTAGTGTTTATTCTAACCAGTAAACGAAAAGATGCTTTCCAGATGAAAAGCCAAAAAGATTAGTTTTAATTTTACTTGCTGTACTATTCATTCTTTAATTTTAATTCTGGCTAAATAGTTTATTCTTCAAAATATTGTTTAGGTCAATAAAACTTGAAAATACAAATCTAAACATGGGGAAATGTCAATTATATGTTATTTATCCAGAAAAAAAAAACCCTGAATAAACTATTATGCAGACAAGTCAGTGCACATAAGATTGGAACTTTTGCTATTTTAAATGTTTGAGTGATTTAAAAATAAAATTATAATGTCATTCTGAGTATAGTACAAGTAATTACAGACTATGCACAGAGAAACCAAAGATTAAGGAACTAGATTGTCTGACAGTAGCTGGTTTTCCTTCTCTGAAACTGAATAGCTGTGGGTTGAAATAAAATACATGAGGATATGATGTTATGCATGTTCATTATAATTTAAATGTCAGTATTAGTTATAGTGACCTCGAAGTTTAGAAAATAACCATAACTAAAGAGATCTTAGTGAGTTAAACAGAGCTTTCCTAAATGCTGATGTATATAACAACTAAGGCAGAGCAGGCATTCTTGTATGACTAAGAAGTAAATTTTAGAATGGCCTTCAAGTCACCTTGGAAATTGACTTAATTGAATATAAAATCCTGTTAACTTTTCAGTTAAAGTTGATTTACCAGATTCAAAACTATTTTTGTTGTGACAAATGATGTGTTTCATACAATTTTGGTCTCCTCATCGTAAATTCAAGCACGAAAAGTATTCAAGTGTGTATTTGGTGTGTTCTCTTCTCTGGAGAGATTAGTGTTAGACCTCTAAATGTACAGAGATTTTTACAGAGATCTCCTGTGTTTACAGCCCAATAAACTAGGAAGGACACAGAACAGAGAATCAGAAAGATCAGGTTAGGTCCCATCTCGGGCATTTGACAGTCATATATCCTTTAATAAAACAATTTCTTTGATGTTACATGTTTTGCTCCAGACAGAAAATAGGATAAAATATACAAAAATGTTCCAAAATAGAGATTTTGTGCATATAAGTTTCATTTATGTCCTATTTTTCAGATAATTCAGGAAGACATTCTTGATAATGGAAATGAAAAAAATGAGAAGGAAGAAGTCATAAAGAGAAAAATTCCTTACATTCTGAAAAGACAACTGTATGAGAATAAACCAAGAAGACCCTACATACTTAAAAGGGGTTCTTACTACTACTGAGGAGATATACATTTTCTTTACATTTGATTGTGATTTATCATCCTTGTTTGAATACTAATTATATATGTGTGAAAATGTGACAAAATATGCTTATTTTGACTCTTCCACAATTGTGGTTTTTTGGGTGTGATTTTTCTGCATACATATAAATTGGACTAAATGTTTTCAAATAAATCTACATCTTGAGCATGATGTGTTATGTATAATTGGAATAAACAGTTATCACGTTACATATAGCGTGTTTTGTAGTTTTGCAAAACACATTATGGGTTGTTTAAACAGTCAAAAAGTTTGACATTTTATGTGAAATTATGAGAAATTCTAACAAAGTAGGACAGCAAAGTCTAGCCTATATTATCATTAATACAAAACAAAGTAATGGCACATCTTCTGTTATTTGACTGAGTATTTTATCAAATTGAGAGGAATACTTTCTTTTTTCAAGACTCACTCATGTATCTCATATATAAGGATAGTTATTGTGGGCCCATCAGAAAGACTGATTAGTGGCCTGTTGTTAATTTTGCCTGCTGTAGTGAATGGTTTTCAAGTGAAATTTTGTCTGTTCAATGAATTTGATAGCTAATAAAAAGACAATAAGCCATCAAAATTATATGCTTCTCTGCAGATTACTTCCATTGGAAGAGTTAGTTTTTATTGACTTTTTCCCAATTTTCACATTTTGACCCAGGACATGACACCTTTATTTTTTAGTTTACGGAGTTATCTGTGTGACTAATATTTTTTTCTCTTTTGGGAGGCATATTTGAGCCAAAAGCTATACTTCAAAAATTCCTCTTGCATAGCCTTTACATTTCATCATGAATAGTGAATTTCAGAGTCTCTCTTACCGAGGTCTGTCTAGGAAGACCTCTTATTATAGAATTGTAGCCTCATCATTGTCATCTCTGAAAGGTGAAATCAGGGCTTAAGTTGTTATACATTCTTTAGAAATCCAGTTCTTTTGATGAGATTATCTTTCTCCTTGGTTTAATCCACTCACACAGTATGATTTAAGAGCAGCTACAGATAGCTGGTATTTTCTCATAAAACCCTTACTTTTCACAACCTGTGTCCCACTATCTTTTGACATCTCATCAAATTCAACATCAGTAAACACCCAAGAGATCAACTATAAGGAAACTACTTCATATTGATTAAGATTGTGTTCTCTGTAGTTAGGTTGCTCAGATTCAGCTCATCTGCTCACTAGCAACCTTGGATAACTTATTTAACATCTGGGTTTCTTTATTGTACAATATGGATAATGATAGGGATTGGAAGGATTGAATGTACTGACATGTATATGTAAAATGCTTAGAATTGTCCCTGAAATTGTACTAAATTTAGTAGTTATAATTAATAACAGTTTCTGTTAAGGAAACAGCCATCACAAAACATATTTCCTTCTTTACTTCATTAGCCAACAATAGTTCAGCCCTTCTAGATCATACATTATCATCAAAATTCTGTTTTAAGCCAATATTTAACATCTTCCATCTCTTACACCCTTTCTGATTTGCTTTGGAACTCATAGTCATCGCTTCCCAAACAGCCTTCTCCGCTGTTAACTGATTTTTCCTTCACATTGCACAATATAGGGTTTGGAAGTGAGATGTGTGTTATGGAAAATTCCATACCATTTTTTCTTTCCAATTCAAAATCTATTATTTGAAATGAAGAGCATAAGACAATTCCATCTACTATATTTTGAACAGCTATTCTCCCTAGTTACTTGCTTTATGCACTATCCTTTAGGATGTGCATACATGTAGAAGATCCATCTAGATATCTCCCTTCTCGGTTTTTGAACATCTTTATTTATAATAAATATTTACCACTCCATCTCAACCAATCACTTCCATGGTCATTACATAGAACTTTTCACTGCTAATATTGTCAGTTCTTCCAAAATCTCAACTTTATGCCTTCTGTTCTATAATTATCATCTTTCCAGTTCACATACACCTAGTACTTGCATTTACAATTATGATGCAGTCCAATCAATTAAACCAAACTCTTTTTGTTTTTTACCTTCTAATAATGCCTCAAGTTTCATTTTATTTGGCTCGGATTTTACGTTCCAAAAGTGAAATCACTCTTACCCTTAACTCCCTGCCCTATCTCAATTGAGCATGTCAAAAGACAACTAGTTAAACACAAATTTCTCCTGATTCTAACCTCACCTGGAAGGTTTAATATACTTGGAGAAAAGTGCCTAACCTTGCTGAACTAACACCTAAATTTTTTGTTTACAGCTCTCAAGGCCTTATTTATATCCAGAATTTCTTCTACACTTTCCTAATAATTTTTGCACCTTATTCTCACTGATGTTTGTTTCAAGTCTTCTCTTCTTTCTCCTCCTTTCCTTGTAATGACTTTCTAACTGTTTTACCATTTTTTTTTTAATGAAGAAAATTGAATCATTCCTCTCTCTTTCCACTATAACAACAAACCTGTGTCTATCCCCTGCCCTCTTCCTCCCCTTCCATTTCATTGAGGAAATGCCCTTCTCTTCTCAGGGTCATTTCTTTACTTCCCCATCTCAGTAAATGGTCTAAAACCTTGTTCAGGTTAAAACACGAAATCATTCTTAACTCCTTTCTTTATCAGATACCCTCCATGTAGTTCCATTAAGAAGTTTGTTGACTTTGTATTCAAACTACACCTCAAATTTATGTACTTCTTGCCACATCCACAAGTATCTAAGTCATTTTCCCCCTGGAAATTTCCATCCATTCACATGGCATAGCACCCACCATTTTTAAAAGAAGTCATAATTTGATACCTCTCTCCAAATCCCAGAATGGGTATCCAACTTCTGGTTCACCATGTGAGAAGCTTAGATGTCTCCTCCCCATCCCATCAACAATAAAGAGATGAACAAACTGAAAAATGAATGAATCTTTAGATCCATAAGAGAAGTCATGGGGCAAACCACTGTCCCTGAAATTAGAGAGTGAAGCAGGTAAGTACAGTAATTCCAAGTTAATGAAATGGAAATTCCCAAGTACTAATGTTTATTTGAACCATTGACTGAGTAGGAGGTCTGAAATTATAAGAAAATCCCTGGAGGTTCACTGTGAATATGTCTGGGAGGAAAAAAATACAGGGTGACCCAGTCCTCAGAAGGCCCTCATGCTTTTTGAATTACACCTAGGTTAGTTCAACCTATTTTATACAGTGAATACTGGGGAAACTCCTATTTTTTTTTCTGAGAGGGATAAGGAAAAAGGAATCATTTAAAAATATACCTGAATATTTCGTTATTTTTTAAAAAAGGTCTGTCCTCAGTAGAAACTATTTAACTATAGCATAACTTATTAGGATTTTATCAGAGTCTCACTGACCTTGAGGAAGGTAGTGGGAACAGGTGAGCCATGAGTAGTGGGAACATGGAGATTACAGGGTTAATTCTATAGATTGAGCCTATGTGCTTCTACTCAACAATTTTTTAGAGAAACAATTTACACAAGGTCATCCTGGCCCTTTTGTGATTTAAGATAATAGCCCACAATAAACAACATGTTATTCTCAGGACTAAGAGATATCTACCCAAGATTTCTCCTTTGATAAGAGGAAGACAAATTGCCCTCTTCTCAGACTGCCACAAAATCTGTTTTTTAAAAAATATTCGTTGGGGTTGTGGCTCAGCAGAAGAGCACTCACCTAGCACGTACGAGGTGTTGGGTTCTATCCTCAGCACCACATGAAAATATATAAATAAAATAAAGGTATTGTGTCCAACTACAACAATAACAACAACAAAAAAATTTAAAAAAAAACACAAGTTGCAGATAAAACCGGTCAACACAAAGATGAACAAAGTTGCTATGATTATAACCAACAAAGTCCTTGGCATATTATTTAATTTTATTGTAGTTATACATTTTTACCCTCCACCCAATAGATTTTGCTTAGACCCTCATGAGTAAGACATGTGCAATAGACATTTAGAAGTCTGCTACAATCCAACTGTCAATCAAGAAGTAGGAGCAATGCTTGAATGCCCTTTAACTCCAGTAAACACTAGGACACAAAGAAGGCAGCTGTTGATTTCCTATGTGAAATGACTTACTTTCTCCCTTGAGAGTGTCTTTTTTCTCTTCTTTCTCATCTAATACATTTTGCCATACTTGTACTAGGCCTTGTGTCTTGCTTGAGCAACTTTTCTCTTACAAAGACCCAAGAGATGAGAAACCTAGCTTCTGATAACAAAGAGAAATACCCCAATGCAGCTCTCTATCACCATTCTGTTCTGATTAAGACAGTGCAGGGGGTGAATGCAGAAGCATGTGTGATGTTTACAATACAGAGATACAGCATCACTAAAAGAACAAAACCTAATTAAAGGCCTATATTATGCACTTTCTCACACACACTCCCCTCATTCCTCAGCACCACAAAAATCAAGGAATTCTTAAAACAATTTCTTTTACTTAGTATATCACGTTGGGCTACCAAGAAAAGATTATAAAGCATACTAAGAGGTTTTATAAAAGAAAAAAAAAACAAAAAACAACAACTTAAAGAAACAGAGAAAATATTTGAACTTGACTCAGAGCTGGTCAGGTTGTTGAATTAAGAGACCAGGGGTCTGATATTTAAAATGTTCTATTAGTCTGACCAAAACACTTGAAAAGAACAACTTAAAAGAGGAAAAAGCTTGTTTTGGACTCAAAGTTTCAGAGGTTCAGTCCATGATTGGCTGATTTCATTGTTTTGGGCCTGAAGTAAGACAGAATAAAAAAGGGTATGGTGGCAGAAAGCTGCTTAGCTAATGGCTGCCAGGAAGCAGAGAGAGTAAGAAAGGAGCCAGGGACAAGCTGCATTCAGGGACCTCCTTCCTCCAGACATGCTTCACCTGCCTACAATGCCCACCCACAATTAATCCAGCAAATAGATTAACCCTCTGATGAGGTTATAGCTCCTAATCTAATCATTTCACTTTTAATATTTCCACATTGTCCAACACATAAACTGTTGGGGAGATACCTTATATCCAAACCTTAACAAATTCTGTCAAAGTTAGGAACTGAAATGTCCCCCAAAAGGTCATGTGTTGAATGTTTGAAACTTAAGTCAGCAATATTCATCAAGTCAGCAATGAATATGATGAACTTTAGCAATGAATATCATGAACTTTCATCATATTCAGTTGCCCAGAAGTGTTTGGGGGATGTCCT